TATTCAGAGGGGTAATTTGAAGCAAAAAAACTGTACCTTATCAGTGAAACTCCAGCCATTTTCACCAAGTCTTATGTAATCAACACTAGTAATAGGAATAATGTCTTCCAAGCCTTTCAACTTTCGACCGACAAGACACCGACTTGCAAATGGGCATGCGTACGACATATACAGATGATAACGGTCTCGTTCCGCCTTAAATCCACTGCTTCCATCAGCTTCAATTAGTAGTTTAAAAAAAAATGGATTTGGTTGACATGTCATGGCTTTTTGTCACATACAGTATCTTAACAATTTTTATTTTGTGATTTAATATCATTACTGGGAACGCCTATTCATGAACCCCATTGTTGACAGCTTCATTATTGGTCCCAATGGAATAGCCTTATTGAGGTTCAATAAATTATATAGCCCATTATTATTTGTTGAAAATTATCTTGAGAAAAGTTGAAATATTTCAATGTATTTGCGGGTCAATTGCTTAAGTCAGACAAACTGCGCATAACCCTATATAGCACCTCCCTAGACAAAACATAAACACAATAAATGCACATACAGTAGTTTATTTATATAGGCCTACCCGCTTGTTTATTCGACCTAATTCGACACAAAGTTCGATCAAGGGGTTCGATGCACTTTATTGTTAACATAGCATTATCAGTTCCTGTTCCCAGGCCGCCTGCATTAGTATGCAGGGTTGCCCAGCCCAATCCTCATTATTTATATTCTTTATGAAAGAAAAGCATTTATATTAAATTTGTTTCATTAAAATTCCCGGTACACTCTTACACACATTTAGCAAGATCTGACATAATGATTCGATCGATGAAAAGGTAGGCCTCTTTTACGCTGCTGGCGGCATACCTGGATGAAAAGAATATAAACCACAATGTAAGCCCAAGCGGATCCTACCTGTAACCCATTGGCGAAATTCTCCATCTGGTTTAACGAACTCTCCTTTTTTATTTGTACTCGGCAAATTCCCTGCCATAGTTTTATCACAGGTGCTTCTTATCGACAATTTTCTACAGAATCGAGCGAGTGAATGTTAACAAAATGGCACCCTGCATAACATGAGAAGGTACTCAGACTCCGCCCACTCTCGTCCTTTGGAATATCGTTATGCAAATTGTAACTCAATATGTTTTTTTGCACGAACACGGTGATTCATCCAGTTTATACACACACACACACACACACACTATATGATATATATACTGTATAACATATATATAACATATATATATATAACATATATATATATACACCATATATACATACCATATATATATACTATACATACATATATACATATATATATACCATATATATATACTATATATTTTGATTGCTTCAATTTTAATATTATATAAATCAATAAGATTTCAACTGAAAATTAGCGAAAACAAATTAACAGACGTTTTATCATCAGTCAGTCTTTGTATTATTATAGGTCACTCTTCTGAAATTCTTACAGCACTTTTAATGATTTTCTGTTCAGCATTTGAAAGATTAATGAACATATATGTATCAAATTTTGCAGTTCTCGTAGTTTGTGCCTTGACCAAATAAAAAATAAAATGAAATTTATTCCTATTAATTTACTATTATTTGTTTCACGTTTGAACAAAAACAGGGCGCCATAAAAATCCCCTGTTACTGAACGGAAAAAGTAGCGGTAGTGACATAAAAAGAAAAAAAATCAAATGAAAGAGTAATTAGTAGCAGTAAAGCTTTATTTATTCACGGAAAAACATAACTCAACAATTTACATGCTGCTTTTCATCATGGTCGTGATAAAAAAAAAGAAAACAAAATATAAATCAAATTTACAAAACATACAATATAAAGGAAAAGCTTAATAGAGTAAAACGAAATAATTAAATTTACATTATATACAAAGTAATTTATGAAAACAGTATATATTATTTTACTATAAACAGAAAAAAGGTACATTTATAAATATTAACATTACATTGAGGAATATAAAATATGTTTTTTTTTTTAATGCTTAAAGTATTTGAAGTTTGTACATTTAATTTAGTTTGTTCAATTCAGTATCTCCGCGGTATAAAATACTTCTCTTTTTATAATTAGTTCTTGGTTTAGGAATATATAGGAATATATATTACTTGTACTTTTACGAAAATCATAATAATTATTAGTTAAAGAGAACAAATTAGTTAGATAAGATGGGCCAGCCTTATGCAAATAATTTATTAAGACTGCAGCGAAAATCACAACATTTTTAGAAAAATTATAGAGTTTGCATTCTTGAAAATTCATCTTATTGTTTTTCATCAGAATGAAAAATGTTGATGGAACGATTTGTATAGTTGTCTCAGACCATGCTCAGACTACGTGCTCCTAAATATAAGTTCACATTTGGAGTCCGCTTCTATATTCGGTTATAAGTTTGAAAGTAAGACTTTTCGACAGGCAATAAGTCTGTGGTGGAGAGAGAAGAGGGGTGAGGACCAGGGCTCCGGTCGGGTTGACCTTCGTCGGGAGAGCAAGAAATAGTCCAATGATTTTTTTTTTCGGATTATGAGCCAAAATCAATTTAATTATGCTATAAACAAAACAAACACAAAACCCCCTAGAACAAAATAATCATATACGGTAATTGTGCAATCTTCGTTTATGAAAATACAGTAGCAAAGGCATCATTCAAAATATTGTCATACAATAAAATTCTTGTACAGATCGTCATTAATAAAACATTATGAGGAAAAACACCAGATCTGACAATGAGATCACTGATCCAATAGGCTATCAATTCGTTGTGAGTTTGTCCTTCAAAGCTAAATTCATTATAGCTATGGTCTAAATAGTTGAACTGTAACCTTTTTGTTTTTAATTCCATTGCTGCATGTTATATAGGACTGTTTCTCATTTTTAAAATTCAAATAGTACTGGATGAAAAAAAAGAAGAAATGTGCTGGGTGCGTTCGTCTTGGGTAGTCTCGTTATTCTGAGTGCGAAACGGGGTGAGTCGGAACACTGACTGTTACAGCGATTAGGTTTGCTTTTGTTTCCTGCTCACTCACTTTGATGTTTTTGTGTGTGTGTGCGTGTTCGTGATTTTTTGGCAATAACGATAATAAGAATAAGAATATTTATTTGTTTTATTTGATTTCATACTACGTTTGATCATAATTAATGGAATTTATATATATTTCTAAAATGTAATTTCTAATCCATTGATTGAACTAACGACACTACACTACATCGGATACTGATACTTGCTGGTTAAATTCGAGTCAGTAGCTCATGGAATAGGTATATGCGGCTATGAGCTACGATGTTTATTCAAAATTAGAATAACAAAGAAACAAATATATAGGCTTAATACATGGAAATTCGGCAGGTTAAATTCTACATCAGAAGTTGAATAAACAACAAAACACAATGTAAATATAACGATATTTGTGAATGGCTTTAGAGACTAATGATTTTTTAGGCCATATAAAAATACTACTAGTTTTTTTTTATATTATTTATTTATTCATTCTGAAAGTAATCAAAAGTAAAAATCAAGGATAAAAAAAAAACAGAAAAGTACAAAAAGCAACGTATTTCCACTGTGGTCCCTAAATGAGAATACTAAAATACCAGAATAATAATAAGTTTATCACCCTATCTAGGCTGGAAAAGTGATGAGGGAAGGAGGCTTTCTTTTAAATTTTGCTAAAGCCATATATCAGATAGATAGAGATAATACAAACAATATCTACTATTTAATTAAAAAAAATAAATTGAAAAAAAATAAAATTTCCCAAAAAAATGTTTTCTTAAAAAATATATATTTTCTCCAGAACCATAGAAGGCATGAGCGCGAGGGTGACAAATTAATACTTTTTTTTATTGGGCCTTATCTGAAACGAAACATAAGAAGCGTGAAACACATAGGTGGTTGTACAGTAATTAAATTTACAATGGAGTGGAAATGACTCAACATTCATTATTTATTGGTGTTTTCAGGAGGACGAGGACCTACTGTATTTATCATACATAGAAACGGTTCAAGTCTCTCTAATCATTGATTCGCGAAAGCGTCATGTCCTGAAAGTTTCTGGTTTTACAGAATGTTGTTTCCTAACATTTAATTAACATAATGACTACAAACAATATACAAAAAAAAACCCCAATAAATAATAGTAAACAATAAGTAATAATAGATAGGTTCACGTATCAAACCCCTTCAGCGTGCCAAGGTGTTTCAATTTACGGTCCAAGAAACCACAAAAATTAATATAAAATGTGTTAATTGCATATTTAAAACAACCACATTTATGAGTTAATTTTAAAGGCTTAAGCCAATACTGCACATTTTTGAAATACTGTATTTATATGTATATTTTATAGTGGCGGATTCGAAAAGGGGGGAGGGGGCAGCCGGCTCTCTACCCCCACCCCACATAAATTTTACAAAATTAAAGCCATACCGTATTCATCTATTTCGAATTCCTGGATCTGCCACTGTTTTAGATTTTGAAGGCAGTGTATATTTCGTGAGAAATTAAAAATATATTGTGGTACCAAAAGAAAGCAAAGTCTTCCAGAATTACATTTGTTGAAACGTTTATTGTTTATTGATTCATACATTACAGTATACTGTAGTCAGTTTTTTTTTTCAAATGGAGAAATATTAAATAAATTAAATACAATTGATAAATACCTAAAATTTTTGTAAAATTTCTTCTAGGAAATATTAAGCACAAATAAGCCTATCAACTTTAGCTACAGTATAAAATGTTATATCGTTTTAAATGCTTATTCGTTATTAGTTACTACTGTAGTTTTCTAAAGCACTTTTCACTGCAGTTACATAGCTCTAACTACCCTCAACTTTATTCATCATTGAAGTTCCGCCTAGCATCTGTCTCTTATACACATCTAGATGCCTCAAGTAGGATAAAGAATAGGGTGTGGCTGCCAATTTATTATAATACAAATATATTTTTAATGAAAATTACAATTCTGATAGCCAAAAATGGTTAAAGGTAGGGAGGGGAATAAAGGAAGGGAGAGGAGGGGAAAATAAAGGGGAAGGATATGTGTAGACTTGCAAAGTATACAGACAGTATTAGATTTGCTTACTATACAGTTATTACAGGTCGGTGTAGACTTGCACATTATTGAAGACACTGATCTTCCACATCACTCAAAGTACCATTCACACACACACTTGAGAATCCTAGCCAAGGTTTTTGTTAAGATCTGTCCACACTATCAACTTTTTTATGTGACAAATGCATGTGAATTGCCAAAATATGGACGTGATATGAAATTATCTTGCACATATACGGCTACAAAAATTTGACACATAAAATGTGACAACAAAAAAATGATATAAAATTTGAATAACAGAGCAACAAATAGGCTTATACATTTGGCAGGGAAAATTCGGCAAGTTAAATTCTACATCAGAAGTTAAATAAACAAAGCACAATGTATCCAAGTTATGTTTAAAAAAAATAATGATATTTGTGAATGGCTTTAGGGACAAATTTTATTTTTAGGTCCTATAAAAAATATTATTAGTCCATCACCCTATCTAGGCTGGAAAAGTGATGAGGGATGGAGGCTTTTTTTTCTAATTTTGCTAAAGCCAAATATCACCATTGAGTTGTTTGCTGGTGCATTGGTATTAAAAGTAAAACATGATTGACATATCTACTAACTATTTAATAAAAACAATATAAAAAAGAAAAATTGTCACATAAAATGTGACAAAAAAAAATGAAATAAATTGTTGACAGTGTGGACAGATCTTAAAGCTCTGTCCATACTATATGCCCATATTTGGATGTAATATGACATCATCATGCCCATATATGGCCACATCACATAAAATGTGATACTGTGGACAGCACTTTACATACAATACAGTATATTACATGCAGGTGTAAAAACATAACAAGCAATGCTCACAGTATGGCCATGGTCATTCACTTAGCGACTATATACAGTATATTCAACTACTCAAGACTACATATCATTGCGTTAAGGTATACAAATAAAGACATATGTACATTGTAAGTATTATTTAATTGCATGCTTTACAATCAAAGTCATATAAATACACTGGTAAATGAAGGCAATATATTATAGGTTACAGTATTTACACACAAGGATTTACCACAGCGATCAAGCTTGCATTAAATGTGCTGCTGCCTATCCAAGTGAACCCATACTGTATATTGCTAAACACTTTCCTGTTGCTCACTAAAGCCCTGCCCAGACTATCAAATATGGTCATGATGACATCACATCATGACCATATATAGGCACATCATGACTATATATGGGCATTTGATAATTTGGACAAAGCTTATGTTATTTTTGTGATCACCAAAATTACAGTGCACTGGAAGGCAGCATTATTTTTATTAAATAAATGGAGATATGACGCGGGTCTCCCTGCTATTTATAAGGTTGACCATTCATAAGGCTTTCAGTTCATTAATGATCTTTATTCATAAGGTTTGCCAATCGTAAACAACAAGTATTTTCTCGCCATGATAAAGCACAATATTTTCTAGTCACAATAAAAAAAATAATCTTTTTATAATGACTAGCATGACTAGCGAACCGTATGAATTGTGGTGACGTCCTTCAAGACATTACGACTAGCAAACCTTCTAATAGCAAGTTTGTCCAATAACAGCATTTAAAAGTAAAGACAGCAAGTTGAAAAGTGCATGGATGGCATAGCTACTAGTAAGGCTCCAAACGATTCCGTTTAGTAACAGGTTATGCACTTAGCTACCTCAGAAATCAAAGAATCCATAATCAGTTAGGTACTCAACATGGGCTTCATGAATTACACATAGCAACCGGTTGCGACAAAACTGATTGTTATGTTGAACGAGTCCTTTAGTGTTACTTGTCAATCATGAGTTCTTTGCATGATCTTGTTTGCCAATCTCATCTAGGTGTCGTTCCCAATTACGAGCTGTGTTTTGAAATCCAGTCTTGGTCTTGTTAAATGATTTAGGGCCAGCTGATGTTGGAGTATCCCTAAATTAAAAACAATAAGTTTTTTTTAAATTTATTCTATAGTCATCTATAACATGCAATCTTCCTCTTAGACTATAGAGTAATATCTTTCACTGGAGATCCAATACAGCGTCAGGTATGAGCAGCATAGTATGTAGTCTAGGATGATTTGATTTGTAAGATTATACATACTTCTTTTAATTATATATAGTCAGTATTGTTTGTTGTTTATAAAAGGCATTCGCTTCGTTGTAGGAACTAATTGCTATTCATTTATTTACAAAATTTGGCCCAGAAAGTTGTAGTGAGCTTATAATTACTGTACTACTTTAAATGACAAGAATAACAACAGTTGAAGTGACTGACTTTTAGATGAATGAATTTTCCTCTGATATGAACACTTGAAGATTTTTAAGAGCTGTTGAGTATATATTGAAAACAAATTATTAGCAATCTATTGGTTTTTTAGTAGCAATACAACTTAACATATCTTGAACATCATATTAATAACACAACAAACCTGCCAATATTTTTCATCCTCATCTTTGCTGATTTTGGCATTTCTTCTACATCCTCCTAGAATCAAACCGTATTTAGAATTAATTCTATCTTCATAATATACAGTTAAAAAAAACCATCCTATCCAGATATTATTTTTTGTCTTTATACTTTCTCATAGTACAAGGCACCAATCATTTTCATTTAGTCCAAGAATGCTTTCATATGCTTTCTCTTTTCAAATTGATTTTTACATTGAAATTAAGTGTTCACTATATTCTAGTTTAGCACAATGCGGTACTAATGAATATATTATATTTTTATTATATAATATATTATTAATATATTATATTTTATATTATCTTATATATTATTATTATTATTATTATATTGTATTTATATTATTACTATATTACATTTTATTTAGTTTTTTTTTTTTTTACCTTTTCATTTTATTATTATTATTATTATATTTTTTGGTACATTTTAACCTATATTATTACTCTTACCACAAAGTTTTAATTATCATATTAATATTATTAATATTATAATATTATATTATCAATATTGTTATTTATTAATGTTAATTACACAGGTAAAGCTTATGAAAAGAATCTTACATCACTGTCCTCATTGAACGCTGCAGCAACAGATGTGCTCTTGACTGGTGCCAGTGGCTCCGTCTCCTTCGGCTTCTAAATGAGAACCAAGCAACATTTATTAACTCTACACAATCAAATTACTACAAAAAACTGAAGATTGTATGCCCATATTTAGTCATGATGTGCCTATATATGGTCATGTGATGTCATCAGGACCATATTCAGGCATGTCACATGTTTTTGTCAAATAAAATTTGATAGTCTGGACAGGGCTTTAGCCCCCACATGCCATTTTTTTGAACCCCGTCTACCTGCAAATACTTTGGGTGCAGTACCCCCTGTGAGGTTCTATTCTTAGAAAAACAAGTAACTGCTTGCTTCCATATTCTGCTTGAAATACCATCAATGTAAAAATATTCTCTCTAGTTTCTCTTGGTAGGAAAACTTTCACTGTGAGAACTGAAAATGTTAATTCAAGTACAGACCCAACATTTTAACTTACTTGTGCACCCAGTTTCATAGCGATGGGGTTTAGTTTTTTAGTCATATTCACTTTTGGTGTAGTAGTTGTCGAAACCAGGTTGACCTTTTGAGAAAACACAAATATAATTAGTCATGTGTTAATATAAAAGCATTTGAGGAAGCCATCTTTCAAATATAAATATTCTGGAAGTTGCTGAGTCTCGGAAGGGCTTCACACACTCCCGCAGGCAAGCAAGAATCTCACAGAAAATAGGCCTAACCCATTTCCCGCAAATCAAAAATATTTGCATGCTTTTACTACTTTATTATCAATATTCTCACAGAAGACAGTGCTGATGGTTACCACCATGCTCCAGGGGTGTATCCAGGATTTTTTCTGAGTGGGTCGTGGTCATAATTTTTTGGATTTTCACAATGAAATAACAGCAAGATGTGATTAAAATGTCAATACAATTTGCTTGAAGCGGAGGGCAGGCTCAGTTTCAGAATGCTGGAATTGAGATAGATTACGTCACGCAATTGGCAAGGTCTTCGGCCTCATTGCTGGTACCTCATCAATGCTTTTTCATTTATGTCATTGTGAAAATCCCCTATAAAAAAATGTCTTTGGAAAAAATGTGGACCTTTGAAAATTTTGGGGGTGGGGGGAGCGTACAACCTTCCCGACTGCCTATGTGCTCGTTCCGATGGGTATCACCAATGCCCAGAAAATAAAATTAAATATGTTAAGATGATGCGGAGTATAATTACTGTATGAAACTAATAAGGTACATCATTTTAAAGCATCATATATAGTTTTTTCCATCCTATAAATAGAATGTTACTGCTCATTGAGAATAAACTTTTAATAAAATAGTATAAAAAATTATTACCATCATTACTTTTATGTACAGTATGTTTACTTTTTGCATCAGGAAAATATCATGAGTGATGTTTGCCCCACCTGACGTGTTATCGTACCAAATACTCTTTCAAATACTGTACTTGAAAAAAACAATCGCAAGGGATTCGGTTAGGAATTGAACCTGTGACCTTCAGAAAATTAGTCTGGTGTCGTACCCACTTGCGTCAAGTAGGGCAAAGCATCACTTCTATTAATATTATAAATTATAATAAATATTTAATACCTTAGGAACTGCCGGTTTTGCCGATAGATTGATGGATATTCCACTAGTTGGTTTCTGCTTCTTCTCATCACCGTGTGCCACTGCTTCTGTTGACTTTCTCTTCACAGCTTTAGCCTCCATTTTGTCCACAGGTGTAATCGCATATAATGCCTGAAGTTGAAACAACTGGTAAACGTAAAACTTGATCTTACCTGCATACTGTAACTGCATAACAACACGAAAATAGATTACATTCAACAAATTTTACAATATTAAATATTTATTACTTTATTTGACCAGTTAAATACAAGAAATGAGATTTACAGTGGGCTGGCCAGCGTAAACATAATTCAGTTTTCTTTTTCTCGATATTGCCCAGGTGAAATGCGCAATGTCTCTAGGCCTCATATATACAATGGTATTTTTTTCTTCAATTAAATGAATGCCTTCTACCAAGGCTGGGCTAGATATGATCCAGACTAAAATAAGGCTTTATCCCCCACGCAAAAATATAAAATTAGGTCTAGAATTTGTTTCGCGCATTTCAGAAGAATAAGGGACAATTTCCACACACTTTTTGCAATGTATACAATTAAAACCAATGTATTAAGCAGTAGTTATGGTGCTGCGCACCTTCTTTCCTAGCGACTTTCTGCACAAATTTGCATTGGTTTTTTATCCTCCGTGCAAATGAAATACTTTACATACAGTTTGGGACAGGAGCAGGGGCGGATTTAGGGGGGGGCCGGCCCGGCCCCGGCCCCCCCTTTTAGGAGGTAAAAAAAGAAAAAAAAAAGAAAAAAAAGAGAGAAAAATGAAAAAATGATGGCCAAGAATGCCTCAAATGTTATGTTCGGGCGTCTAGAACACAAAAATTTCGCGGGGGCATGCCCCCGGACCCCCTACGAC